TTTTTTTTATTAGCTTGCTTTTGGTTTTGGCACGTATCGAATCAATGTTTGATTTTCACTAAATAAATGAATTCTTGCTTTTGGTTTTATTTTAATGCATAATATATTTTTAGAAATTATAAATATATATAATTTTTACAAATATATCCCCTCTGTACCTATATCCCATTTTTAAGGTTTCGTCTCATTGCCGCATTCATGCTTCCTAGGTCTAGTGTCACATTGGTATCTTACATTCATGTAAGATATACATATATTCTATGAAGCACCGACCCTTCAAAACAAGTGTCGTATCCTTGTTGGACACACAGACACTTTGGGGACACGTGGACATGATGGGGACACGTATGGGACACACCACATGGCATGTCCCCTTATTTAATTAATTTATTTTCAAGGGATACACCGAGAACACTTCGAGGACACATTAAGGACATGCCAAATTGTCTTTTCTCTGATTTTATTTAGTACTTTCAATGAATGTTGAATGTTGAATATTTATTATTTTTTTCTTAGATTTAAATACTTAATAGATCATCCATTAAGAAAGATATAAACTGTAAGTGTTAATTTAAAAATACTTTTTAAAAAAATATATAGAATAGAGTTAGTTTTTGTTAATATGAATTGTGTGGATGTAATATTAATCTAGATAGCAAATAAAAATATATGAAAACATATTTTATTGCTGCGTCCCAGCCGTATCCGTGTCCCTATTTTTTTTAAATTGTTGTGTCCCGTGTTCGTATCCACATCCGTATTCGTGTCCGTGCTGCTTAGCGTATATACGTATATGCATATATATCTTCCTTATTTATATAATTTGTGGGAGAGATTATGAAATGGTGAAGGTGTTTCTTTATCTAGAATTCATTTTGTCTCTGTCTCTCTATCTCTTAATCACCAAGCAAGCACCCAATGATAAATGAGATATAATAAGCTCATTATAAAGCATATACATAGTCAAGGGATACAAATTCGACATAATGAATCCTTAAAAAATATGACATGGACAGCTAGAAAATGCTACTTGTGATCTTGTTATAGAAATGGAATTATGTTGTTATCTCTTATATATGTATACAATAAATATTTATATAATATGAGATGATAAGTAAATATTTCATACTCTTAACAAAAATGCTTAAATAGTCCATAAGAGTTTATTATCACCATTTCTTAGTTTACCTTACAAAATGAGATGTAATAAGCGTATTATAAAGCATATACATTGTCAAGGGATACAAATTCGACATAATGAATCCTTAAAAAAATATGACATGGACATAGCTAGAACATGCTACTCGTGATCTTGTTATAGAAATGGAATTATGTTGTTATCTCTTATATATGTATACAATAAATATTTATATAATATGAGATGATAAGTAAATATTTCATCCTTTTAACAAAAATGCTTAAATAGTCCATAAGAGTTTATTATCGCCATTTCTTAGCTTATCTTACAAACAAAGTATTGCATGCATACATAATTACAATAAGCCTTTCATCCTCCGAAAGTCTCTTCTTTAATAAAAGAATTATGGGCCTTTTGCATTTTTCTACAAATTTAAGTGAAATTTAAATATGACTAGTCTTAGCAAATATATATTTCCAACTTGTATAAGATAGTGACTTGTCAAATTCCAAAATTTTGATAATCATGTTTTGTAAGTGTAACAGTGTCGATCATGTATTAATTTCTTAGTCGTAGAGACCTAAGAAGTGTTGGACACATTTCTTGACCTTAGGCATTCTCTTTAGCTCTGTGTAATATATATGTACATATGTAGGAAGTTCAGCCCTTGTGGTTTGTTCAAAGATAGGATTTGGCAAATCGATTGAATGTGTCGAATGTTGATGTTGTCATCTTGCTTTAAATTATTGCTCTTCTAAACATCACATTTTGTGGTTCCTTTCTCTCTTCCTTAATTCTTTAGTATAATAACTGTGTTATAATAGTTACTTACAAATTAATATTTCGAACTGCTGTGGAGTAAAGTAGGTAAATATTCATGTTCTTCTTTTCTTCTTACATAATGATGAAATCTTTTGTTGGTATGAAGGATAGGCATCTTTGAGTTTTAGCAAGTGTTGATGGGTTCAAATGATGAGGTATGCTAAGTGCTCTATCATTCAAAGTCTGCGTATATCATCTTTTTTTTTTCTATGTCCACATTGAAAAAAAAATTTGTGTCTGCGTATATCATTCAAAGTCCTCTTATTTCTCTTTACAGTTATAAAGTTTTGTTTTATATCGAAGAAATTGAAATGTGATCTAGTCTTTCAATTATGTCCACATTACCAGAGATGCAGCGATAATTTTGATTTAGGGCTTGACGTCTCTCCAAAAGAGGACTACGAACTTAGGAGTATAATCATCGATGATGATAAGGATAAATTTGTGTCCAGAATTAATCGCCATAAATATAAAGCTGATGTGGTCCCGCTGGTGCACTGGTGTAACAACCCTCATACTGTTTACCGATTAATGACTGATTAGTTACCGATAAACGCTGATTACCGTGAAACTGAATTGATCATGACTGATAATTGAACTGATTAAAAGTACTGAACTGACTGACTGAAATTGGAAACCGAATTGATTGAGTATATGTTAGTTAAATTGCATTCTATCTGTTTGATTGTATGAATATCTGTTCATGCTTATATGTTTAAACTGCAAATTGAAGGCCTTATCGGCGGCCGAATCCGAAATTGATTGATGTTTAATGATCAACATAATTTATGTGATTTTGTGGTGTATTTACCCGAAAACTGATTAGGTATGATTAAATTAGATTAAAATAAGCTAATTAAAGAGTTGGACTTAATTACCGTTTTGCCCTTGAGTGGGTCACTATCTCTACACCTTGAGCTCATTATACTTGAGCCAAAAACATTTCCATCAGCCATATCTCTTGTTCTAGCCGACCTTGAGGAAGAGAGAGTGAGAGTTTGTGTAGTTCTTGAGATTTGGCTTAAACAACTTAGAGAATTGAAGGTTGATTGTTGCTTTGTGGTCCTACACTTGTAATTGAGGCTCTAGGTAAGAGAACTCAACCTTTATTGATGTGTTTGAGCTAGTTCTTGCATGATTCATGCTTCATTTGTAGAGTTAAGCCATGTTTTAGCTCATACATGATGATATAGAGCATAATTCATGCATGCATGTTGTAATGTAGAAGTTTGAGTTGAATTCATGGTAAAATGATGCATGCATGTCCATGATTTTGTAATGGTTCATGTTTTTAACTTGTTTTTGGATCAATTGGCTCCTTAGAGCATCAAATTGAAGCTTTGAAATGATTTGAATTCATGCATGTTTGCATGTTCTTCATATTCTTGAAAATGGGTTTGAATATGGTTTTAAATTGACTCACCTTTGGGGCTTGAGTTCATAAATTGAGCTTTGAAACTTGTTATACATTGAATTTAGTTATGTTTTCCAGAATTTGGGCCCAAGAGGTCGAGTTTGGAGTGGTAGAATGCTTGGTTTGAGCTTGGGAGGCAGATCTGGAAATTCCAGATTTGGCTTCCTCGCTCGAGCGAAGGATTCCCCGCTCGAGCGAGCACCTTTGTCCAGGGCCCCGCTCGAGCGACCATCGCGCGTAAAATCTCAGCATCCAGTACTTTTACTGTTTTGCAGACCGCTCGAACGAAGGATTCCTCGCTCGAGCGAAGCCTTTGATTTTGGACGCCCGCTCGAGCGAAGAAAGTCTCGCTCGAGCAAGGCTCCTATTTTCAGCAAACTTTGCCTGATTATCTTTTGAATACTGAACTGAACTGTTTACTGAGCTGGTATTATTTACTGAATGAATGTATGTCCTTTATTTCTGAACTGTACTGTGGCATCCTTAGTACTTACTGTTTACTGTTACTGTTACTGTTACAGAGATCTCTGTCGGTTCCCTCGTGGAGCCACTACTGTTTACTGATTGATGGCCATCATTACTGTTCGGTCTTTTAAGACCTACTGTTACTGTTGTGCTAATGGATGTACCACATATGACTGTTTACTGTACTGAACAACTGGAATACTGATTGAATTGAACTGTTTTCATTACTGTAAGGACATTCATTCTAAACCCCTTTACGCTTTATGTTATTCACTGGGCTTTAGCTCACTGTTTATATATATATGTAGGTGCTCAGCCACCAGATCGGAGCTAGGAGCGTGGGTTAGTCTCCAGTTTTGTCAAGCCAGCCTTTGTGCCTCACTGCGAGGTTCCGAGCCTATCTGCTAAGGCTTAGGGGTGTTTTAAGAATTCCCCCTTCTGTACTGTTTCACTGTTTTGTATAGGCTGACAGTTCACTGTACCGCTATCTAGGGTTGAGTCCCTAGTTTGAATGAATGTAAATATTGTGCATACTGTTCTGTACTGTTTATGTATGGATGCATGAAAAATCTTTTTGGCATACAGACTGTCACAGCTCATTGGACATTGTTTAATTACTGTATTGGCTTCCGCCAGGCCCTGTACTCTGTTTTACTGTATTACTGTTCTGCAGGCCTTCGGTAATCTCAGATTACTGGCCGGTTACGGTGCTAAACCCATAGGGCCGGGTTTGGGTCGTGACAACTGGGAATGGATTTTTGAATATAGAGCCCTTAAATGTGCTACCGTATTGCTTCAAGGAGAGACCAGTCAGACAGCTAATTTCTACAGCAGTGACACATTCAGATTGCCCATGACGCATACACTGGCTCGTACTAATAACTATGACTTTATCTAGTTATTTATTCGCCATGGTGCTTCATTTGATCATAGGTGTTATGGTGTTGGACAATCTTTGTGGTATCTAGAAGGGAAGCTACCACTAAATACAGTTGTTGAATCAATATCGTATGGAACTCCGACAATATTTATTATCTACTTATCTCCATTCAAAGCTTTTTTTTACCTTTTCCAAGTGGAGGAGTACATTTAAAGTATAATTTTTGTGTGTGTGTGTGTGTGTGTGTGTGTGTGTGGCCAGAGCTCTATTTTCTAGGTCATCAGTATTTTTTGAGAAGTGGAATCCCAGAAAACCTTTCTTTGAGTTGCTTGTAGGGCTGAGCATGGTCATAGAGGTTCCCCCCCTCTTTCTCTCTAATCAATTGACTGCATTTTCGCTCAAATTGTTTGCCAAAGAATTAATGTTTTACCCTTTTAATAGTTCAAAAAATTGTGTGATGGCATTGATGAAAAATTTTGCGAAGCTTGCTGATCTTGAACATTTACATTCCTGCAGAAAAAGCAGATGGATTCTATCAGGGTGCTTGTATTGAACACCAAAGAAGCTGAGCTAGAAATTTGTCACTATGCAAAGGAAGGAAATGTTGTAGAACTGGCTGTTCTTCTAATGATTGCTAGGGAAGAGGTGGCTCTACTCATGTCTCAGATCAGAGATGGTTCTACTTCAAATGGATGCATATCTATCCACCAATATATCTTAAGTAAGTTGGAAGCACTAATTTGTGAGGAGTACAAACCCACATCCTACAATGAACAAAAGAAGTTGCTTCTGGCAGGCAAGGAGAAGAAGGCCGCATTTATATCCGTATTAGTGCTGCTTGAATTTTTTGAGATGGAGGGTGACACTATCGAAGCATATATTCGGCAAGAACGAGTTAATGTATGTACTCCTTGTGGTGGTTGCGTTTCTAGCATCAAAGAAGAATTAATGATACTTAGGATGGTTCATTTAAAACATAAAAGAAGTCTCAAATGCTAGTTAATCGTTGTTGGTTGCATTTCACGAAAATCCAAGACTAATTCAGTTCTTAGCACCCCCTCCCAACATCAATTATTTTTCTTTTGTGTTGATTTTTTATTTATATACTTTCTTTTTCCTGATCTACAAAAGGAAAAACATATTTGTTTTCATTTCTGGCCATGGATTCTTTTTCTCCTCTTTTTTTCATTGATGGATTATTCTCAATTGATATATGTGTATATATATATATATATATATTTGTAATCCTTGCATCTTTCCCCTCTTGATATGTCCTTTTTCATTTCCCACTTTGTGGCACACTCAATTCTTTTCAACTTGTTTGGCGCTCTGTGACAGTTGTCAAAAGAACAGGTGGCCTTAGCTATTGCATGGCTGCTCCAGGGAGCGAAGATACTGCCAAAGTACCGAGGCATTAATTTGAACAAGATCTGGTCTGTGACTTTTGCTTTTCTGTTAATGTTCATACAACCTTTGAGGATATTTATTTCGTATTGTCTTTCATTCATTAATTGAGTCAACTTTTAATGTTATTCTATTAAATTAAACTCAATATCTCTATGTGCTTATCATTATCTGTATTGATGAATGTTTGTTTTGTTTTATTGACATGATACTATCTATGTTATTGGGAAAGGTCAAGACCTGAGAGGCGTTTAGGTGAGGTTGACTCTGGGCTTTTAACAGTTTTAAGTGTTCCATACATTAAAGAAAAGGAAGAGGAAGTAACTCCAAAAAAGAAAAGGATTTTGTTTCACTTGTTTTATTTTATGTATTTGTTTATTACTATATTTATATTGTTTTGTAAGGATTTATGCAACCAACGAGGTATGCAATTCGAGCAAAGGAATTGGTAAAGAAGAAGCTGAAGGATGGGGAAATGAATGATAACACAAAGGTAAGAAAGATCACTACATGTTGAGTCCTCTTTATTCGTTTATTTTTTCCCTTGATGTTGGGGTAACGTAGAAGACTTGGGACTGTTGATTTCTCAAGTATTTCTCGAGTAGGTGGGTATCGAGGGACCTGAGGAATCAGTCACAGAAGCGCCAAAGGCAGCTATCTCTTTTAGTTCTGGCAAAGGTTATCGTTTTTCAAAAATTTGTAAGAGCAATAGAGTCCCTAAAAATGATCGTGGCAAAGCTTCAAACAAAGAGGTTGGGCTATTTTTTGAATGTCTTATTTAACTTGTTTAGATGTATATCATATTTGGATGTAAGACATATGTCAAGTTTCAGATAAGCATGACAACAAAAACCTACATTTGTCTCTTTACGTATGCATTTACTTCATTACATCCATCTTTGAATGCGTTAGCATGATGACACATTGTGCTTATGTATCAGAGTGCTTCCTGTATGCACTTGAAAGTGAGAAAAATACCGATTGGGATGTTTTGCTTGCCTTTCACTGCTGGAAAAATGACTTTTAAACGCCGCTATATGTATGAAAAACGCCTCTAATTCCTTTAGTGACGCTTACCACCAAACGTCGAGGACGTGGCCATCGCTATAAGTTTATGACGCTTTAAAAACGTCATAAAATTAGTATAGGTAAAAACGCCGCTAAATATGGTAGCCAATGGTAACATGACGTCACACAGGCATTCAGCGACGCTTCAAAAACGTTGTAATAGCTTTTTTGTTATTTTAAATATATAACTATAGTGGCGTTTTGAAAAACGCCACAATAGATTTTTTTTCTTTTTTTTTTAAACTACTAATTTTGTAAGATTTAACTTTAAAAATATACCTGTAAAATAGCAATAATGAATAAAACTTTATACAGACATATATTTCTGTGAGATTACTATTCCCTCACATCTATAATAGTACCCAATACAACATCCTTCAAGAAAAAAATCCATAAGTTCAATCCCAACATCATTCTACCTGTGTATGTTTTATCTTGGGCAAAAGCATTAAATAGAGAGAGTATAATATCTACAGAAAAGCTCATCATCAACAATCCAGTATAAATTAAAAGAAACAAATGCCAAAGGAATGAAATTACATCCCACCAACTGCATTTAAGTTGTTTATTGATAGAACATTTCTAGAACACATCAGAGGATTTACAAAGAACCCACAAATCTCTGTTGTGTTTTATACAAGTGCATGAATCAATCACAAAAAGAAAAATAAAATAAAATCTGTGATTTCTCAATTCAATGTCTTCAATTTGGAATGTTCACCATCTCAGCTTGGCTGGGAAATACTGCAAAAAAGTTCACTAACTAAGAATGCGAAAAATCAAGATAAAATTCGAAAAATAGATATGCATAGAAACTGGTCACAGAACTCATAAGATGCTCCTTGTGAGTGAACTGTTCTATAAATGGTTTCTACACACCTAGTTTCCTGACTAGTGTAGTGCTCACCTTCTCAATAAGAGAGATAGTATGGCTTGACCTTCTCAACATCAATGTGCACTTTGCTCTTACTATAGAGGTCATATTTGCTGCAAAAATTTCGAGAAAGTTTATGCATTACCCCGAGGAAATTGCACAGTTAAGGTGTACTTTGAAGACATGCAGAATATTCTAAGTATGGAATCATACAAGACAGTAAAGAAAAGACAAGCATTCAAACACTTAGTCAAAAAAGAAAACTTGCATTTAGATAGAGAAATAAGGCACTTCGGCCTGACATTGAAGAATAATTGTTCAGATTACAAAAAGGCACATCGGCCAAATAAAGAGCTAAACATTGTTTCAAAAGTGAAAAAAAAAGTACAAGGTACAAGAAATAAAGAAGAGCATCAAAATGGACTACTCGGCGTCGGCAGCGGACTGTGTCTCGGCCCCAGAGGACAATTGGGAAAACTTCTCGGCAGCTTTCTCAGCCTCGAGCTCGGCGTCGATCTCTTGTAGAGTCTGATCGATGCTCTTCTCGGCGATTAGCACCTCGGAGGTTGTCTTCTGGGAGGAGGCACCCTTTAAGACTTCATCTTCCTCATCCTGAGTCAAGTCCAAGACTTTCTCATTCAGAGTTAGGGACTTGGCCCCAGCAGCTTCTTCCGTATTTTCACCCTCAGCTTCCTCCTCGGACTCAGCCTCGTCCTCGGATTGGCTTCGAGTAGGGGGGAATGGCAGGACGAGTCGGCTATCGTCTTTAAGGGAAGAGTCCTCGGGGACAGTCAGTTCTTTCAAAGAAGCCATCCAGCCAAGGGAGTAACCCTTGTTACATGCCTTCTTAACTTGCTTCTTGTAGTCCTCGCGAGCATCGGCTGCCCCCTCGGCGTACGCCTTCTTGTCCGCCGCCTTGATCTCGGCCTCCTTTATGGTCAAGGCAGCAATGAGCTCGGCTTGGGCTTTGGCGGTCTTTACTTCGGCCTCTTTTTTCTTGACCTCAAGGACCTTAGCAATGGCCTCGGTAGCTCTCGCCCTCTCCCCAGCCTCGTCTTGGGCTTGTTTTGCTGCCTTGGCTTGATCCATCAATGTCTTCATATTGGCCTCGGCTTTGTTGACTGTCTTCAACAAACTAGCAGCCTCTTTGGTCTTGTTGACCAACTCCTTCTTGATGTCAAAAGCTTGCATCGCGAAGGAGTGGGCGTGCTGGATCGCCTAGAAGAAATGGGCAAAACAAAAGTTAGTGAAATTCTCTAAGTATGGAAAAATAGAGAATGAAAAGTACCATGTGTTAGGGGTTTACTTGAACGGAGTGCTGCAACATTAGAGTGAAGTTTTCATATTCACTGACCTCGGCGTTGCGTCCGAGGTCTTTTGGAAGGAGCAAGGCAGTGAAGAGGGCGACGCTAACTTCAAGGTCAGTTACACTATCGCCAACCCTAACTGGCTTGTCCTCAATAATGATTGGAGGGGCCCAAGGGGCATCTGATTTCATAGACCCCGAGGCTGTCGCAGACTCTGATCTCAGCTTCTTTGACCGAGTTGATTCAGAGGGAGCATCCTCGGCGGGCCTCTTTTCGACGGCAGAGGCACTCCCTCAGCAATTTTGGAAATCGACAAGGTATCCTCAGAGTCAATCTGAGTTACCGTTGCCTTAGGTTGGGCTTTTTTCAGTCTTTTTGACGTCGGCTTTGGCTGAGACTGGGATGGTGAAGGATGTGCGGTGACAGAGTCAGGGATGTCGGCTAGAAGGTCGTATGCTAATGCCTTCTTACGACCTATCTCAACGGCGGCTACTGTTCGACATCGGCATTTGCGTTGAGCATGTGGGATTAGTTATGGAGCCAAGGTTAATGGCTGTTCTGCGAGATCAGAGGTTGATCCCTAATCTGGCCGAGGTGATGAAGTTGTAGGAGGAGTTGTGGCAGAAGGAGAAGACTTGCTCTTCTTGGGGATGTTGGGCAAGACGAATTTGTAAGTCGGGATATAGTTCAGGAGCAGAGGAGCCTTGTGTTGATTGATAGGCAAGTTGAGTAGCTTCTTAAAATCCTTGCCGGGATAAAAGTTTTTGCGGAAGTCCTTTGGAGGCTGAGGAAGAATTGCAAAATAAAACATACAGACGTTAGAACATATAAAAATATCAAAAGTAAAAAAGACTTGAGAAACAAGTAAAAGTAAACACTTGGCTCTTACCATCTCCCTCTCTGAACAATGTACGGCTTAGAGGGTAGAGGTGAAGGTCATCATCTGGAAGGTACTCCCAGTTGCCCGAGACGATGAAGTAATCGTCTCCGGCGCCCTTGTTGGAATCAGGGAGGTCGGCGATGAGTTTGTATTGTGTGGACCTCGACTTAAGGTAATAGACGTAGCCTTTTTCTGACTTAAGGCCACACATGGTGTAGCAGTACTGGATGTCGTCTAGAGTTACCCTAGCATTTTCTCGGCTAGCTAAGACAATGATACCGTTGATGACTCTGTAAGAGTTAATGGCTAATTTCATTGGGTTGAGTTTATAATAGTGAAGTACTTCTCGGAAAAAGATATCGAGAGGGAGCCTAAGTCCACACTCTATAAAGGCTACGACTGGAAAAGGCATAGAGTCGTCCTTGGGCATGATGGAGTCCTCCTCCCCAACCAACCTGAGGTGAACGTCGGCAGGGATGACGAACTCCAGCCTGAAATATTCTAGCTTAATTGGGGTGTCTACCTTCCACCTCCACATACCCATGACGTCGGCTTAAGGGGAAAAGTGTTGGATTGCAAAAGGAAGTGGTTTGATAGGGTTTAAAGGACCTCGGCAAAACCTAAACGAATGCTGGGGCAAGGGCTTTTGAGGATCTAAAGGGAATTTGTTTTAATTTTTCCTAAAGTTTGTAAATTCTAGAACAAGTCCCAAACCTAAGGCTACGGAAATAAGGATTGAAGGCAAGAATCTGAAGAACACAACAGGAAAACAGAGAAAAATAGAGATTCAGACTCAAGAAAAAGGGGTTCAAGAACATTGCATAAAATATAAATATGCACAAGTCAAGAACAGTGTTGAGCTATCAAGAATCCCAAGCAAGAATGTCAAGAATATGAACAGTATGTGTGTGTGTGTATACTAGCAACAGATTGTGCAAAGAGTGGAATCGTGAAACAGATGATGAATGGTGGAAATCGACACACAAGTAACAAATTAAGAGCGTGAATAAAAACACCATGGCAGTCTACAAGCATAGTAGTTTGAAGCGAAACAAGAAATTGAAATAAGAGGAACAGTGGCTTACCGAGGAAAATAAGGCCGGTGTGAAGTACGTCAGTGTCAGACAGTGGTAGTGAGCAAAGAAGTGCAGCAGAAGCCTCGCCGGAGGGGGAGAGTGAAAATGGTTGCAGAAAGCTTCGCGAAAGCAACAATGGAGGATTTGGGAAAGAAAGTTAGAGAGAGAAAGTTTAAAAGAAAACGGAGATACAAAAGTGAAAAGACGGAGAGAGAAAAAAAGATGATTTTGATCAAACACGCAGAATGACGGCAAACTGGAAATTAGTGTGCCTAGGATGACGTGCTTTTCAAACGGCGCATGCAAATGCAATGCGACTTAATGCCGCATGTCAGGCACGGCTCAATAGGGCAAAGACGCGAGGCAAAAATGGTTGAAATACTATGCGTGACAGCTCATACGCGTGTTAAAACTCTTGGAGTTCTTGATTTAATGGAGCAGGACCTCGAATAGGGAGACGATCTCGGTTGAGAAACTTGAACAAACTTGGTTATTGGTTCTGAAGCATTGGTGAAAACAGACTAAGTCTTGGTCGTATTGAGCCGAC